ACAATTATATCTGTTGTTCTGAATGCTGACTACAGAGCAGAGGTGTTAAGGCTCTTTAGAGAAAAGTAATTTGGTTTGCATTTCTTTTGCATTGCATTTATTCCCTACTTTGTATATCTTAATATACAAAGTGTGATTTCTCATCAACTTGAGACCTTAAGATTTAATGGTATTGATTAAAAAAAATGTGTTATGTTGGGGAATTTTCATCTGTAATCATGAACAGGGACAGCTTTATTTAAATAGCCAAGCTAACTCTGATACCTTATGAGGTTTTGTGTAATATAATCATAGAAACATTTTTGTAGAATCAGCTTTGTTTTTATATGCGGCCAATTGTACAGTCAAATTAGTTATTAAGATTTTTAATTAAAAAAAAAACTAATTACAGTAAAATGAACAATTTCCTGTTTGTAAATTATTTTATAAGTATGTAAGAAACCTGCAATTCCTGGCCTATTGATCCTTTTTTTATTGAATATAATTAAAACAATTAAAAACAGATGGATTTTTCTTAATTCCATACCATCCTTAAGATTGTTTAAAAATATATTTATAGCAGTTAAATCTTGTTGCTGCTTTTTTTAATTTATATTTTTTTGATTGAATATTATCATATGTATTTCCATGTGATATTACAATAAACAAAGCTCTACTATCAAAAACCATATCAAACTATTTTTATTTATTTAATCTTAATCCAAAAATGCTCAAAAGATAAAATAAAAATATGTATCTTTACTCTTTATTAATTGTGAGACTTATAATGAACCCACACAAATACAAGAAATAATGGAGCAGACAGCTCTTATGCCCACACGACCTCAGTGCACGCATCTGCAAACAGCATTCACTCTGAAAAATAAGTAATCTTTTCCTAAATGTCAGAGGAGAGTCTCTTGGCAATTGTCACCTCGCTGTGAGAACGTTTCAATGTGGCCTTCAAGCTGATGTGTCTGCACACCTACAAGTCTGATTAGCTTTGCATTCCACTGAGGTTGAGAAGTTAGACAAGGTTAAGCTCTAATTTACTGTTGGCGGATATGAGTCTGCATTTTGCTCCGTGTTCAGAAGATTGGATGAATTGCTTGTAGAAATATGAAAGAAAATAAAGATTGCTTTTTTACAATTAACAACCAATAATGATTAGATTGCTTCATTAAATCCTATTTCTCCCTGTGCTCCAATTTGTGTTCTCGCTCCGTTATTGCATTTCTGCGCTGATAATTAACATAAGCCTGTTTGAATTGAGGTTTGGCTCTGTTTCTTTGTCGAGGAGCACATGAGGTTTTTTGCAATGCATTTTCAACCTTGTGCCTGTTTATTACTGTTGTTAAAGGTTTCTATACTGACAGGTTTCTGACTTCTTGCCATAAATGAACTACACTGCTCTCACCAATTCAGTCCTAATAAGCCGTACCAGCCATTCCAACACACTTCACTTACACTGACTGAATCACTGAAGCAAATCATTCAGAGCTCTCCTGCAGTGCTCCTGTTAGCGTATGAGCTTGTGTGTGTGTGTGTGTGTGTGTGTGTGTGTGTGTGTGTGTGTGTGTGTGTGTGTGTGTGTGTGTGTGTGTGTGTGTATGTGTGAGCGTGAAGTCAAATCAAATTTATTCATAAAAGCTCTTTTAATAAGCAGGTTCATCACAAAGTGCTTTGATGAGAACAAAGGACACAAATTCAGATGAAAACTACAGATAAACAAATAGAACAAGTATTGGGTCTCTGCGTGTATGTGTGTGTGCCTGCGTGTGTGTGTGTGTGTGTGTGTGTGTGTGTGTGTGTGTGTGTGTGTGTGTGTGTGTGTGTGTGTGTGTGTGTGTGTGTGCTTGATGGATGTGAGGTTTAGATTTGAGTCAGAGGCAACAGCAAAAGCCTAAGTCTGAGAGTGTGTGTAGGACGAACCTCCTACCACGTCCCTCCCTGTCTCTCATCAACTGTCTCTCTGCCTCCCCTCCATCCTTCCCTCTCTTTTATGTGCCAACAAGTCTTCTGAAAAGTGCTCGCTAGAAACATAGATTCATTTTTTGATCGCTGACGAGTTGATTGATTAATGACTTCTCTTGTTAAGAGACACATTTAACTGGTGAAACTTCCGTGTAAAGCATAACATCAGGCAGTGCTAAGGCAGCATATAGTCACATATATAATCTGTATGTGCTGCATCCTTGACTCTTTGTGCATGTGTGTGTTTGTGTGTGCATAACATATATATATGTGTGTGTGTGTGTGTGTGCATATTTGTATCCCTCACAGTGATTAAAGCAAGTGGGCGGCAGCAGCAACTGGTCTGCCTGTGTGGCTCTGCATAGCAGACATGTTTCTCACTGCTAGATATTACTCATTTCCTCAGCCCTTTGCACACACAAGCACACACACACACACACACACACACACACACACACACACTCTTGAGACACACACTCGCACACACACACTCACATACACAACAGACACAGAGACGGATAGCAGGCTCTCAGTTCTTTCCCTCAGTTTGGTGGGCTTGCTGGTGTTATTTCATGCGTACAGAGATCAGAGGCAGTGTGTAGCTGGAGGCTGCTGATACCTGCAGGTGTTGTAACTGGCGGTGGTGCTGTAGAGGAGCAGTGTAGCACAATGAGGAGCTGAGGAGTGGGTTGACCCTCTGGGAGGACTGGAATATGAATGACTGCCAACACTGGGAAGCCTGCTCAGCCAGCATTAAGGTCAGTCTAACATCACATCACAACAACCACCAGCTCCATCAACCTGTCTGTCGGCTCCCACATTCTCTAACTGCTCTTTTAGAGCAGGAGTTCAGTAAGAGCTGCTGCTGGTGGCTGCTTTTCTGTTTCAATTAGCAACACTGGACTATCAGTTTATGTTTCTTTCATTATAAAATAGGCGAAATGAGTCACTGATATTCTGTAGTTCTGTTTTTCTGAGGTTTGAAGTCATGAGTGAGGAGGTACGTTTGACAGCTCTCCTGAGAATTGCATGCAGAGAAAAGGCGGGATGAGAAGGAGTGGTGCGAAGAGATGTGTCAAATTTGACATTTACAGATGAGAGTGAGTTGAAGAATATAAATATTTTAAATTTCAATATAGCAACATTAACACAAACTGTTTCAGAAAGTTTTGATTTTTTATCAGTTTTAGGTAAAAAGGAAAGGAACTTCTTAATAAACTGTATTTATGCTTACATGGCAAATCAAAAGTCCTGAGGAGTATTTCATTGGAAGGAATGTGTAACATCATTATTACCATGATCTCTCGGTTTTGATATATTTAAATGCTTTGACCACAGTAGCTCCAGATACACTCCAGCTCTGTGTGCATAGCTGCACAGTGTAGGAGTGTTCTGTTAGAAGACGTTTCTCTGCAAACTCCTCCACATGTACAATCGTGTTCTTTGTTTTCTTCTACTTCTTCTGGCAAGTTTGTCTTAGGTCTATTTTGATGACCTCTTTCATGAGGGCTGTCGAAATGACAAAGGTGAAAGAGTCATTTCAGGACAAAAAAGGAAACCAGATTTTATTCATTTAAAAATTCTGTATTCTAGACAAGTGCAGCCAAAATCACACTGTAGAAAAAAAGTTATAGGTTTCAAATTCAGACCTTTTGAACTATGTTTAATGTTGATTAATTGTTCAGGTACAGATGCTATGTTGCTTTCACAATATTAACCAAGTATCATATTTAGATAAATAAAATCCTGATAATTAATTTGATCAAAACCGGATTAGTACCGGAGTACCGGAGTATTAAGAGAAAAGTATAATTCTAGATATGTATGGATTAGATAAAGACTGAATTCCAGCTGTTGCTGCCATCTGAAGGCCTTACTGTATATCTCCAGACTATCAGTTTTCATAAACCTTAGGTCAGTGGGTTTTTTTAGCCGGCAGAAAGCCACGTCGTCTTTCAGCTGAACTGAAAATATATCTCTAAAACTGGACTTTAAAGGTTTCACAACACAACAGCAACATGTTAATTTACTACCATTTAATAACTGCTGATAATAATTGTCCATCATCACTCATGTCCTGTCAGTGTCTGGGACAATGCATCCCCCTCCTCTCACCACCCAGTTTTCAGTTTTCCACTCAGATACACAAACAGCTTGCTCCACTCTAACACTTGTTCTGTTTTTGGACCAAGTCACTTGATGAGCAACAGTTTACCCGCCTCTCCATGGAGTATCCCCATCTAACCTCTCTAACTGACTGGATGTGTGCATGTGCATGTGTGTGTGTGTGTGTGTGTGTGTGTGTGTGTGTGTGTGTGTGTGTGTGTGTGTGTGTGTGTGTGTGTGTGTGTGTGTAGACACAGTTGCCATGGTGACAGTGTGGCGGATGGTGAGACGGCAGGGAGTTGGTTGGCTGTTGAGACAGACTTGCGGGTGAGTGCGGGGCTGAGTGGCAGCATGGTGCTGTGATGTTGTGGCGGTGGCGGGAGCAGCGATGGTGTTGGTGGCAGTGTAGCTGGTGGTGGTGGTGGTGGAGGGAACAGCTGGGCTGGCGCTTCAGCAGCCATCTCTCCAAAAGAGCACATTTAAACGTTTGGAGAAGAATTAGTAGAGCTCCCCCGCACTTCTCACTGAATGAAACAAGGCTGCAAAATCTCTGACACATTCGAGGACTCAAACACAAACACACACGCACACAAAGACCTAAACAAATAAACACTTTCACACATGCTCCCAAAAAAAAAACATAAATAAATAAAAAATTATAAAATTACACATGCACACAGACAAACATGGCATACATGCGTGCACACACACACACACAAACAGTCACACACGCTTCCCTGCACCCCTGCTGTGACAGATAATTAATATGCAAAGACCCATATCCTGTATCCACAACAACTGGTGGTAATATCAACAGTGTTTCTGTCAGCTTTTGGGTGGGTGGTGACCAGCTTTGCCTATCACTGGGGGAGTAAGTACAGCCGCCTGAGGGAGTATTTGTGTGTCTGTTGCTGTCCGTGTGTGTGTGTGTCTGAAAGAGAAGGGGGGGGGGGGGGCTAGTAGTAAGCTCATATAGAATACAGAGAACACCCGGGGGTGTTGTGGGGGTGGTTCATGAAAGTGGTACAAAAACATATCTACATATTCCAATCATCCCCCGAGAGTCAGAGATGAAAACTCTCCTGCTGTGAGTGCTCTGTGTGCAAGTGTGTGTGTGTGTGTGTGTGTGTGCTTCTTTACACACACACACACTGCTCTCCCTCTGAACTTCATTGGCTACAAAATGTATTTTTAGCCCACATGTGGGAGTAATGTGTTTGAATGAAACGAGTAAGTTGGGTAGTTTCAGTCCCACCGCAGTGCACATAGGTAATGACTAATTAGTGACAGCTATCAGGAAGCTCAGAGTATCTAACCTTTTTAAAGTAGTTTGGAAGAGAGGGAGTCACCAGCTGATTTATCTCCATCTGTCTGATACAGCTGTATGTGTGTTAACATGCCTGACCAGACTGACAGCTAAGTCTCAAGTACAACTGATGCTGGGACCTGACGGACTCTCCTTTTTTAATGTTCACACTTTATCTCTCTTACTTCAGTTTCTGCGCCCTCCCTCCCTTTCACCGGCCTTATCTCTGTGTCTGTCCTCTTTCGTCCTCTCTATAGGTGAGCGGTGCTTCAGTACAAGAGAATCAACAGTGATCTGACAGTGATGCTGTGTAGCAGCCTTCCCCTCTGTCTGTGCCCCTCGTTCTCCCAAGAGGCCCATGTGACCTAGCCTACACCCACACACAGGGGGCCCCCACTGCCGCTGGAGCCCACCCATGAATCCCAGCCCCGACCGCGGCAAAGAGTGCCTCCCTCCTAAGAAGAGGGAGTCTCGGCAAGGATCGACAGAACACCACGTCACTTTGGACGAGTTTAAACCCCCTGTGCCGCTCCGGAGTCGGTCCAGCACAGGCAGAGGGGAGGGAGGCAGGGAGGCTAGCGACAGGGACCGAGCTCTGACTAACCCAAACCCGCATCTCCTCCACACTCCTCCACCCCTTCCTGCTCCCGCACCATGCCTCCCCCTGTCCCTACCATGGCACCTGAGCTACTCTCCCTCTGTCTCTCTTCCCCTTTTTCCAGGGCAGGTCAGCGAGAGGAGGGGCTCAGGGTCTCCGGCCTGGAGAGATGATCCTCTCTCCTCCCCCCTGCCCCACACCTCCAGGTGGCTTAGAGGGGAGGGTTCCTTCTCCTTGCCACCTTCCCCATCTTCCTCCTCTGCTTCCTCCTTTAAGACTCCCTTCCCAGCTGATTCTAGAGAGATGTGGTCCTACGTCAACAGCAGCCGGCGTGACTACAGTTCCTCTCTCTTCTCCCCGTCGTACTTGTTTAGCCCCCACTCTCTCTACCCCCAAGACCCAAGCTTAGTTGAAGCCAGACACAGGTACCTGGGCAAGAGGTCTAATGGCTTGGATGGACCAGGCAGCAGGACTGTCTCAACCTCCAGGCCTCTGCTCACAGGAGAATATGGTAACGACAGCTGCAGAACCAGGCTGGATGTCAGTCCACACAGCTCCCATACCAACGGAGGACGAAGACAGCAGGAGGATCTAACCTCCCGTGTCCATTCTGGAGGGCCATTTTTGTCAGACTCTCAAGCTCAGGAGGGCCCTGAGCCACATTCCTCACTGCAGGACAAACATCCGCATGGGATAGTTAAGACTGGCTCAAATTTACTCTCCACTAGTCCCCACCCCCTCGGACCAGACCCCAGGGTAGGTAGAGGGGGACTTTTGGACCCTATAGGGGCCACACCAGCTGAAGCCCAGATCTACTACTCCTTGGGATCAGTGTGCCACCCCAGCCCTCAGCCCTACCCACACTATAGCCCCTCAGGAACACCTCTGTACAACCTGCACAGGGAGCCAGGCCCCAGGCAGCACAATCTAAGAAACTCACCTCACTCACCTCTGGGTCTACCCAACAGCCATGACAGGTTACAAAGAGACCGGGAAAGAGACCAAGAAAGAGACAGAGAAAAAGTCCTACACAGGGACAGGGAGCGAGGTAAAGACAAAGACAAAGAGAAGCACCTACAGTATGACAAAGACCAAGAAAGAGACAGCGAGCGCGAGAGAAGGCGGGACAGAGGGAGAGAGTTATCTCCCTGCCATTCTCACACCTCACCCCCTGACCTTCACCCATCTCCTCCTGCGCTCCTACCTCACTTCACCAAGGGTTCTCTGATTGAGCTGGCCAACGGGCGGTTGAAGCGGGTGGAGGAGCTGCGGACCGAGGACTTCCAGAGGAGTGCGGATACCTCTTCAGAGTTCCACCTCAGCACCTGCACCGTGCTGCTGATTTCCCCCAGCAGCTCACAGGGCTTCAGCCACCTGCAGGTCCACCTCACAGACCGCAACACTCAGGTCAGCTTTCTCTTTAGATACATGCCTCAGCACAACTTGAGTTACAGATATCTACATGACAGCATGATTACAAATGATTTAATTAATAACTGCATGACAGGATGAGTGTTAATGAAAATCAGTAAAAGTTTAGATTGTTGTTTTCTTGATCTTCACATCTTACACATATAATTACACATCAAAATCAGAGTGTGGTGATTTTAAGTGAAACACATGAGAGACCTCTTGGTTGAGTGTATAACAATGTTGTGGTTTTGTGTAGGAGTTACTGAAGGTCTTGGTGGAGTATCCGTTCTTTGTGCAGGACCGAGGCTGGTCTTCTTGCTGTCCCCAGAGAACCACACAGCTGTATGGCCTGCCCTGCCGCCAGCTCATGGAGGGGGATGTCTGCCTGGCTCTCACCCCCATGCCCACCCAAACCCACCGGACACACGCGCGCACTGGCCCCAGGGCCCATCGCACACAATACCCCTCCAGGGCTACAGGAGAGTCCAGCAGCTCACACAGGGAGGAGATGCCACCTCCACCTCCTCCTCCCCCTCTTCCTCACCACCCACCTCCTAATGCGCCAGCCCCTCCACGTGCCCTGGCTGCAGAGCCTCCCGCACAGGAGCAGCCACGTCCACGCAAACGGCGATGGTCTGCCCCGGACACCCTTCCCTCAACCGGAACTGATGAAATCCTCCTGGATTTACCTCATGGCTCTAAGCTAATGAAGTGGCAGTAGAAACTTGCACATGCATACATGCATACACATGCATACTGACACACACACACACATAAGCACATACACACCCTCCTTGTCTCTGTTGCACCCACCAAGACAAACAATGGAGAGACCTCAAGGCAGGGTTGCAGGGAAGGAATAAAAAATAATATAAAAAAACGCAATTTACGGGTGTCCACACTTTAGGAGGAGCAGCAGCTGAAGGATCTTGGGATGGCTCCTTACAGACACAATGAAGACATTTAGTGAGACAATCAAGCACTTGTCCGTGTTCACTCTGTTTTTGTAATGGTTGTCCCACACACCTACTTACTGACAGTGTTTTCTGCAGGGTATCGACTTTCAATCAGTGTTATGAAAGTAAACGCTATTGAAGAAGTGCAGATATATATGAACAAAAATTGACTATATATATTACAGATGTTATATACAGTAAATATGCTAAACAGATTTAATGCAATCTCTCTGTCAATTTCGCAATGCATTTTCATTTCTCTTTCTTTTTTTCTTTTCTTGCTTCTGAGCCGATGTCTACGTGTCGGCCTGGGCAGGCAAGGTGAATGTATGAGCAGCTCTTCGCCTTTTTTTTATTCTCATCACCGGGAGTCAAAAAATTAAACAATTGTTCGTCAAGGCATTACCCTCCAATATGTTCTTAACATTATCTCTGAGAAAGGGAGAACACTAATGAAACTGCGTAACAGACAATCCCACCCACACAGACAGGTCTGTGCCACATCGCCTTGACACTCATGGTGTTTTTCCATTAAAAACTGAATGATGGAAAGAGTAAAAGTGCAGTATGGCTGAAGAGTAATGGTGCTAATAACACGTTGGAACATGATGCTTTGTGAATACTCTTGACCCCTGTGTTACTGTACGCTTCTGTTCCCATCTCATTTTTTACGTACTGTATATGTTTGAGGACAGGGAAAATAATGAAAGTATTTTAAACTCAGATACGGGTATCTCCTCTGATTCAGCACACTCTCTCACTTTAGTTTTTGAGTTTTTTTTTTTTTTATTTTCAAAAAGAAAACCTTACCTGTTGATTTTTTTCTTTTTAAATGTTATAGCTACAAAAATATATGTATATTTTTTAAAAATTGTGAATCTGTTATATGATGTTCGCTAGAAATAAAGGAAAAAAAGCTTTATAGATTTAATTAAAAGTGTGAATTTATTCTCTGCATATGTTGTAAAGTACTATACACTTAAATTATCATTTAATACAAATGGTAAATATGGGATTAAGATGCTAGAAAAACTTTTACATTAATAATATGCATGTTTTATAAACAAGATATTTTCTTTAACAGCTGATAACTCTTGCCAGGCTAGCTGCATGGTGGACGGGAAAAAAATCAATATATGGTACATTGCTTTTAAATTTTCCTTCTTGCACTGCAAATAGGTTTACACTGCAACACATCCATCATTTCTCATCAGATATACTCCTCCACTGACGATACTCTTCATCTTTTGCTCTGTTCTTGGGACAAAGCTCCAGTAATCTACTGTTCATGGTTACCCTGGTGCAGGGTAACTTCCTACATCTTCTCTCCCTCTGTGTTGGAGCCAAGGACCAACCGCTTCTCCTCAGTCTCTCCCAAGTTGAACCTCTGCAGAAGCTCCTCTGCAAACAACGGCACCACCTGGCCGATAGAACAGACCACAGTGTAGCACTCAATCAGTATGCTTATGAGGACCTCTACAGGTGATTGAAAATACTACCACTGAACTCCAAATGACAGGGAGCGTTCAAACCGGAATTATCAGGTTCGACTTGGACTGTTGAACTTCAAAGAGTTGACTTTGAATCAGTTTGACAGGTTATTACACTGACACTCTGATTATATTCTAGTCTGAAGCTAACATTTTTTGACAAAGTTAAAGAGAGTGACAAAAAAAAAATCCTGAATTCCATTAAATTTTGATACAGGTCCAGTTACAGACTGGTTAAAGACCTGCACCAAAACTTCTTCCTGGGCCCATGCCCCATCCCTCCACCAAGTTTGGTTCAAATCAGTTCAGTACTTTTTGTATAATCCTCCTGATAAATAGCGATGGAGGTAATAAAAGAATATAAATTTACATGACAAAATCATGCAAAACACACCTTCTTGTCCACTCCCTACGAAACTATTACTGACTTCTCTCATAAAGAGCCAATTTGGGCTCAAATGTGATGTGATAAAGCAGAATTTTTAAATGGAGCCTTTAAAAGTGTTGTGAGTCCTTGGGAAGATATAATCACAATGTCAAACTGAAGCATTTGTAAATCCATAAAAAAATTATTCTACACAATCTGCATTTAGAGTAAATGTGCAAGAGCAGACAACATATAAAACAAAGAGGTTCTTGGTCCTTTTCCAACATAATCTGACTGACCTGTGCCATGATCAGCTTCTTGGTTTTTGGTATGCCGGGGTCTGGATACTCCTCTCCGAAGCAGAGCTCAATCTCATAAGAAGGTGTAGGTCCCCTCCCCTGTAAACAGCTCTGCAGCTCTGCACAGACATTAATCAGAATATTCAAATTCATCATATAAACACATTCCATCTTTGCATAGAGAAATAATGTGACATTTGTTATTTGTTTTTACTCCCAATGACCGCAGTCAATCTGTCTCTCTTTGAATAAATCATATTCTGTTCCAGCTAGATTTATACCACTAACTGATAGCTAATGAATTCTGTTATGTTAAGTATGCATGTGTTGCCTTACCACTGACAAATGTGGGTATATCAAGCAGTTTGAAGGTCTTTTCACGCTCCAGTTTGTTGGGCCGGTCAGAGTGTTGGGCTGTGGGACCGCTCCAGTACACCCTGCCCTGGCAGAACCGCTTGATGAACACCCCCTCTTGGGCCACCCATAATAGCACACCCCTTTCCAGGTGACAAAGAAGGCGATTCATTGCTTCAGCCATGCATGACGGTAGGGATACAGAGCCGGGGGAAGGGAACGAGAGTTGCTGTGCAGTGCAGGGCCCGTAGATCCGTTCATTTCCCAAAGGAACACGGCCCTGCAGAATGAAGCATCCATCTGGGCTGCTGGTGGTCACTTGCATCACCCTCTGGCCCTGGTACAACAACGTCACCTTCATACGAAAATCTATACACACAGACACACACACACACACACACACACACACACACACACACAAAATGCTATTTTTTTTCCAGGTCATACAGTACAAAGGCTAGTAACGTCTTCATTTGGTTTTGTTTTAGTGCATAATCCCATAAACTTCTTTACCTGACATAGTAGGTGCAGGGCTGAAGAAGGTAATAGGAGCAGGGACCTGATTTTGAGGTTTTTTTCCTGTTAATTCACAGTACATGTGCTCCATCATCAGATTCTCTAAAGCAGAATAGAAACATGACTTAATCAGTAAATTCTCTTACTTATGGAAATAGGAAAATGTGTTTTGTTGACGTTGATGTTTTTAAAATTACGTTCATGAGTAAAATTCCTACCAACATGTCCATGCTGGCCCAGAATGGGTTAGATGAGGAGCCATTTAGGTCCCATCTTCACAAACCAAACAGGGTCCATTACTATTTGTTCATTGGTTCAATGTCTGCCCATACAAGTGGGGCCCTTGAAAGCAAACAATGCTAAGCCCAACATGATGCACTTACACAGACTCATGGCTCATGTTTGGGGAACCTCAGAATTGCATCTTTGCTTTTCACAGCCCACAGCTCAGAATCTGAACTCCAGTGCTCACTGGGAAGGTTTGCAGCCGAGTGTGAAGCAGCACCTCCAAGTCTGAGGCCATGGTTCTCAGCCAGAAAACAATGGACTGCTCCCCCTGGGTTGGGGGTGAGTTGCTGCCCCAAATGAAAAAGTTCAAGTATCTCTGGGTGTTGTTCACGAGTGAGGGTAAAATGGAGCTGGAGATTGACAGACGAGTCGGTGCAGCTTCAGCAGTAATGGGGACGTTGTACTGGACCGTTGTGGTGAAGGGGGAGCTGAGTTGGAAGGCAAAGCTGTCAATTTACCAGTCGATCTTTGTTCCAACCGTCACCTATGGTTATGAGATCTGGGTAGTGACCGAAAGAAACTGAACTGAAATGGGCTTCCTCTGTAGGGTTGCTGGGCTCAGCCATAGAGTTAGGGTGAGGAGCTTGGACATCCGGAGGGAGCTCAGAGTAGAGTCGCTGCTCCTTCATGCTGAAAGGAGCCAGTTGAGGTGGTTTGGGCATCTGATTAGCCTCCTGGGCACCTTCCTTTGGAGGTTTTCCAGGCGCATCCAACTGGGAGAAGCTCCTGGGGTAGACCCAGAACTCGCTGGAGGGATTACATATCCAATCTGGCCAGGGAACGCCTCAGGATTCCCCAGGAGGAGCTGGAAAGTGTTGCTGGGGAGAGGGATGTCTGGAATGCCCTGCTTGGCCTACTGCCACCACAACTTGACCCCGGATAAGCGGAAGAAAATAAATGAATGGATGGATGGATGGATGGATGGATGCTATCAGACCCTGTTTGGATTGCTGAAATAGGATCCAAATGCTGAGTAATAATAATCTTAAACCCACATGGATATTCTGACTGGGATAAAAATTAGAATTAGATCATTAGATAATTTGGCCATTTGAGGTTATTATTCTTTGCTTTGAGTCACAGGTGGACTCTGCACAGTCATTGGTGGTTGTAAAGAAAAATAGTTGAAGACTACCACAAAAGCCATGGGGAGAATTGTCTTTCAGACATCTCTGGGCATCATTCTCCATAACTATTCTACAGTGCAGTAACAGTTTGTGTGTGTTACACTTACCAGTCAGTGGGTTTTCTTCTTCTTTTTTTGCTTTAAATGAGTCATTTTGAGACAGAATCTACAATAACAGAAACCAATATTAGATAACATAGTGTGAGGTTTATTTTGAAGATTATATCTTTTTTATAAGATCAAGCAGTTTAAACAAAGGGCGTAGGTTTGCATATGGACGGTAGGAACATGTCCCTACCAATAATTTGGAAGTGAACTTGTTCGCACTGTATTTGGAGTTAAGTCATATAAGATCATTCCAATGTGCCTTCCAAGAGGTTACATCTCCAAGACAACCAATTTAGGCAAGCCAGAATTTGAGTGATTGAAAGGGCGGGGGCTATCTTAAGCCTCACGTCATGTGAGAATATCACAGTGGTACCTAACGTCACCAGGAAAATGTCAACTGATGGTATTTAAACATTTGAGCTTACAATTACTAGCAAGCTAACCCAGGCTTCTTTCTTCAGTAGACTAACAGTCAGGTTGCTAGCAGGACTAAACATAAAATGGCGAATATACCAAAATATGAGTTTCATTTCTATCAAAACTCCCATGAAAATATCACCATGAATAATATGACTTTTTTTATGCCTAACTATACTTTGACGTTTTTATGACATTTTGTGCCTTACTGTACTATGATGATTTTTGAAATTTTGAACCTTACCATATGACATTTTATGCCTTCTAATACTATGACTTTTTATGCCCTACTTTACTATGATGTTTTCATGAAATTTTATGCCTTACTATTCTGACATTTTTATGCCTTACTATACTATGACGTTGTTATGACTTTTTATACCTTACTATACTATGAAATTTTACGAGTTTCTTATGCCTTACTATTCTGACGTTTTCATGCCTTACTATTCTATGACGTTTTTATGCCTTACTATACTATGAAGTTTTCATGACATTTTATGCTTTACTATTCTATGATGTTTTCATGTCTTACTATTCTATGATGTTTTTATGCCTTACTATACTATGACATTTTTATACCTTACTATTCTATGACGTTTTTATGTCTTACTATTCTATGACATTTTTATGCCTTACTATACTATGATGAAATTATGCCTTACTATTCTATGATGTTTTTATGCCTTACTATACTATGATGAAATTATGCCTTACTATTCTATGAAATTTTTATGCCTTACTATACTATGACGTTTTTATGCCTTACTATTCTATGACGTTTTTATGACATTTTGTGCCATACTGTACTATGACATTTTATGCCATACTATTCTATGACGTTTTTATGACATTTTATGCCTTACTGTACTATGATGTTTTTTTGAATTTTTGAACCTTACTATAATATGAAATTTTATGCCTTACTATTCTACGACGTTTTTATGCCTTACTATACTATGAAGTTTTCATGACATTCTATGCCTTACCATTCTGACGTTTTTAAGCCTTACTGCACTATGACGTTTTTATGCCATACTATACTATGATGATTTTATGACTTTCTGTACTGTGACGTTTTTATGACATTTTATGCCTTACTGTACTATGACATTTTCATGACATTTTCTGGCTTATTATACTATGATGTTTTCATAACGTTTTCATGCTTTTCTATTGTATTGCGTTTTTATGCCTTACAATACTATGGCGATTTCATGCCATTTCATGCCTTACCATACTTTGAAGTTTTTATGACATTTTATACCTTACTGTACTATGACGTTATTATGCCTGACTATAGTTTACAGTTTTTATGCTTTACTATACTATGACGTTTTTTTATTTTTATTTTAAGCCTTACTATGCTATGACATTTACGACGTTTTTATGCCTAGCTGTAGTATGACATTTTCATGACATTTTCTGGTCTACTATACTAAGATGTTTTTATGACATTTTCATGCCTTACTATACTATGACGTTTTTATGACATTTTCTGGCTTATTATACTATGATGTTTTTATGCCTTACAATACTATCACATTTTCATTACATTTTATGCCTGAATATACTATGTTATTTCACAACGTTTTTATGACCTACTGTACTATGACATTTTAATGACATTTTCATGCCTTACTATTCTATTGACGTTTTGATGCCTTACTATACTATGACGTTTTTCATGACATTTTGTTGCTTATTATACTAAGACGTTTTTATGACATTTTCATGCCTTACTATACTAAGACTTTTTTTTTTTAATTTTGAACCTTACTATACTATGACTTTTTATGCCTTACTATATGACGTTTCTATGACATTTTATGCCTTCCTATTCTATGACGTTTTTATGCCTTACAATACTATCACATTTTCATTACATTTTATTTCTTACTATATACTATGATGATTTCATGACATTTCATGCCTTACTATACTATGAAGTTTTTATGATATTTTATGCCTTACTGTACTATGACATTATTATGCCTTACTATGCTATATAGTTTTTACTCTTTACTATACTATGACGTTTTTTTGTACTTTTTATGCCTTACTATACTGTGACGTTTTTATGCTTTACTGTAGAATTACATTTTTATTTTCATGGCTTACAATTTTATGAAGTTTTAATGCCTTACTATAAGATGTTTTTATGATGTTTTCATGCCTTACTACTCTATTAAATTTTTATGCCTTACTATACTATGACGTTTTTTTTACATTTTTAACCTTACTATACTATGACTTTTTATGCCCTATCATACTATGACTATTCATTAAATTTTATGGCTTATCAAACTAAGACGTTTTTATGCCTGATTAAATTATGACATTTTTATGACATTTTATGCCTTTACTATATTATGACGTTTTTATGACTGTATTATGACATTATTATGTCTTACTATACTATACAGCTTTTACTCCTTACTATACTATGACGTTTTTTTTTTACTTTTTATGCCTTACTATACTATGTCATTTTAAGACGTTTTTATTGCCTTACTATAGTATGGCATTTTTATGACATTTTCATGCCTTACTATTTTATGACGTTTTTATGCCTTACTATACTACGTTTACTCTTACTGCTATGACATTTTGTGCATTCCTATACTATGAATTTTTTATGCCTTACAACACAATGACGTTTTTATGACTTTTTATGCCTAACTATCGTATGACATTTTTATGACTTTTTATACCTTACTATAATATTTACTTACTATAAAGTTTGTTTATATTATTATGACCTACATACATCCTCTGGATATATGAAACGTTCATGAAATACTCATAATGAAATGCAATTTCATTAAAACAACATGCTCATTCCAATTCTATATGTTGTATATATAAACCTGTATGTATATGATTCTTTAAAATTTTAGTCTATCTTTTATATTTACATGTATAATATTAACATATACTGACAGGCTTTGGGATGGATATATATTTATGTAACATATGTCTATAATATAACAGACATACTAATATACATGTTTGTATTCGCTAGACATATATTTCAGTAAAAAGACAATAATTTATGGTTCAACTCTCTACATGTAGGATTTTAAAATACCTGACTTTGCTGACCTGCCGAAACTTAGAATAGATGATATTTACTGAACCCTTTCCCTGGGATTCTCAGTTTTATATAAATAAAAATCTGAAAAAAACAAAAAAAAAAAAAAAAAAAACAAAACAAAACAAAAAAAAAAACGAATTTTGCTATTCCTATTTTTTTCTCTTCACCCCTGCTGGACAATTCTGTCAACTGTAACAGCACTGTCGAGTATTCAGGAAGGTCAGTGTTATATTTTGTCAATTTACAGCTTATTGGCTCTACGTTTTAGCTCACCTCTTTTTCCACAGAACCAGGGATCTTTGAAGATCTTTTAGTCTGAATTATCATTTTATCCTTGATCTGGGGAGAGTCTGAGGAGAGAAACAAGTGACAGCAAAAATAAAAAATGAAAGACTCAGATACCATCAAGTTATAAAGAAATTACAATACAATTCTTTGTACTGTATATTGGTACAGTACAAGCTGATCGAAGAATGGTTAAAAGACGGGTAAAAACTTTAAATCTTTACTAAGGATGCAGCATTTCATTTCCTTCTTTGTTTTTTCCTTCTATTTAACTTTTTTACTCGTATCTTATAAAGGGGAGTGTAAATATGAAACCAGTGTTCAATAGCTAACTCAAAAGATGACTGGGAAAGGAAAAGGGACATTTTGTTTGATTGTACCTGCTGGCTTGGCTGAGCCATTGTCGAGCTGGATGCAATAGACTTTATATGGCTCAGTGATGTCCAGCTGATTGCGTTCAGGGACCTCTTGGAAGTCTGTGCTCTTGTTGAGTGCACAGCGGAGACGGGTCTTCCACATGGTGGGGTCAGCTTTATCCCTTCCCTCCTTGTATTTGCCCTTATACACAGCCCAGGCCTGAATGTAAACATTAAAAAATTCCATCACTATGCATAAATAAATAATTGAATAAAGACAAACATTTAATGAAAAAACTGGGGAAACTGTGAACCAATGAGTGGCTAATCACAATATATTTCAACATTTCATTTTATTTTTTCAATATTCAATGATTAGCATAGGAAATGTTTGTGTTCTTCTGTTATTAGTTCTTTAACTAAATCCATCAAGAGCATTATGAAAGTAGCAAACAGAATACACACTAAGAAATCATCAGTTATTTCACCTTTATTACCTCACCAATCCTAAACTTCCCCAAAGTTGTGAGTTTATTGAACTGTTACGAAATAAATTGTTCAGGTTGTTCATTACAGGCACTAGCATTAGACATTCACTGAATTGCTTTGAGGAACTAGTATAAATTTAAAATTCAAAATTAGGTCAGTCAGCAACTGTTCCGTTATAGGTTTAGACTGTTTAGACTGACTTTCTGGTTTCTTCTATCAGTAGTGACAGAGTTTCAGGTTTAGTTCCCCATTATTTTCATGTTAATGCCTTACAAATAACCAAATGACAATGAACTTCAGGTCTTCAAACCGAATGTGATGAGTATACTAAGCAATCAGTCTACTGTTGTGAACTTATTTTTAAGTTGTTAATTGTGAATTAATGCTTGTAAATTCTGAAATGTGTTAGATTATGATGCCTTGAAAATTTGAGGTTTATTGATATGATGTTAAATATTAAATAAATGCAAAAACATAGAATCTAACATAGACTGTAAACTAAAAACCTCTGACGCTCTTTCTGTGCTTGACACAGGAAAGTGACAAACTTTCTCAGTGGAATAAGTGAAGAAAATTCCTGTAATGTAGTAAGGTTACTGTTGGACCTGGTATCCAACACTTTTGCAACACAGCCTTGCAACTTAGAGTTAAGGTCTTATTGTGAAAGTGTGTTGTTTTTTCAATCTACGGACTGCACGTGAACGCATCATTTCAGCATACACTTCAACTAGATTTTCAGAATTTTGAAAGAGGAAATAATAATAACAATAACAATAACAATAATAATAATAATACATCTATTTTTAAATTCAATAAATAGCCTACAGTAGCAACCTACCAAAGTGTCTTTGTAAATATTTTAAAATATTTATAATGTTCATCCTGATTGTCCAGACTGTAAATCTAGTATGTGCTTTTTTCTACTGCGTGTGGGATACCTTTTTTCGACACCCAAGCAGCATCCTTGCATTTTGTTTTTTGACTTTGGGCTATAATAAAATTTGACTTACTTAAAAATAACTAGGCAACATTGTGTCTATATGGTTAAAAAAAGAAGTAGGTTTTGATTCGCAAGAAAAACAAAAAGGACTGGCACACTGTATTATACTTAATTTTTGCACAAACACTTGAATAAGCCTGACATGTAATAATAACTTCTAAGCTAAACACATCGTACAAAGTTTTTTTTTCTTTATCGGTCATGGTGTGTGTTTGTTATGGGCATTAAATAAACACATAAATAAATAAATAAGAAGAACTAGCCTATTAAAGGTTTTATCAAACCCAGTATTCCATAGTCGACTAGTTCATTATCACCTTATTATTAAGTCAATATGTTAAGATTGTGTTTGACCATAACCATAACTAACTGAATTCACATGTTCCACGTTATGTTTCAGAATATGAAAGAGACTAAAAGTGTTGACCTTGAACAGAGCTGCATCCTCCGTCTGTTTGTAGTCCTTCTTGGCTGCGTGTTTCCACGGAATCCTGAACATGGTTTTGTTGTCATCCTCCCAGCACAGTCCTTCATATATGCCACTCTCTATCTGAGTTATCAGCCACTCTTTCAGGTGCAACTTGGCTCCTTCTTCCATCTTCACCACATAACTTGGTCTTACAGCAACAAAACGTCAGAGAAACATGTGCAAAGCGACTCGACCACACTTTAATCAAGTTCCCAGCTTGAAAACGAAAAAATATATATCAATATTTTTATTCTGATGCTGCCCAAGCCTCCAATATGATTTTAAGCAACGTTCAGTAGCTTATTAATAAAAATAATTTCATAAAAGTTAGAGGAAAAGAGACCTCATCGCAAACTTAAATGCAGAAGTCGTAGACTACCTAAAATTAAGTGCGCTCTGGAAGCGAAAGCGAAAGCTTTGAGCGCATTTGATACTTTCGGTTTCCCCCTCCTTTCATTGTTACAGCGAAAGTTTAATCATTTCCAAGTAAGGTGTATGTGTGGCAGGGTGTTAAACAAGAGGTCACTGGGTTGAAAAAAAAAAAACTGTATAAGATTTTCTTCATGGGAAAAAGACCTCACTTTAAAATCCGTGTGCTGCAATTGCCAGGTTTTTGTTAACATTAGAGTCAGTTTTAAGTTGACAGAAGCCAAGACCAAGCACTTTACCTTTTATTATGAGACAGATCACAAAACTCATTCTGCTAAATATTACTTTAAAAATGGGAGAAGACTAAATCAATACAAGCAGATAAGTGTAAAAACAGAATGACTTTTACATAGCACTACCAATGAAAATAATGTTTTGCTTTATTGGGAAATTCTCATTTAATTTGAACCCACTGAGGTCAATAAGCCTCTGTGTGAGCTACAGGACCGCTCCAAGAAGCCTTAGACCACCAAGTGAAGCACACACTCACACAGCCACGTATAGAAACACACATATAGCTATACATGTAGGAATCATACCGAAATGTTCATGTGAAAATGAAAGTATGTGGGTGTATGGGATTTTTTTTCTCGGTTGTTATACCTCTAATTTACAGGGTCCATGTTGCCGACAGAAACAGCAGACGGTTCTTCAGATCAGATAATGATACTGAGCGGCAGTCAACAAAAAATCAAAGAAAGATAAGGCAGGTGTATAAAAAGAGCTAATAGTACGATGTAATGCTGTGTAAACAAACACGTTGCAGCTTCCCCCAGCAGAGGGCAGTGTATATCTGCCTTACTGCCTATTCCCAGACAAAGTAAACAAGTAGGATTTAATTTAATCAACGAAACAACAATGCACTTGAGACAGGATGTTATTAAATAAATAAAAATTACATGATGTATGGAGAAGGATGCAGAAACATTCACCTTGTTATTACAATTCAAAGCTCAGACGACAACTGTGTTCTAGTAACACAAGTTAATGAATTAGAGTGAATTAATTAATTTGACTTAATCAATTAGAGACGCTCTGTCAGTCACTGGTACTTGTTGCTGGTCTTGGTTAGAGCTGCCTCACAGGTGGTTGTTCAGATACTGGGAACAGAGGTGTAGCACAAAAATCTGGGCCCTTGCAGACCCCTTCCCATTCCCTTTTTAAATGAATCAGCAAGCAAACACATGATGCCCCTGTAGTGGTTATTAGGGTAATCAGGAACAAACATTTTATAAGGTATTTTAGAGTCTTTAAAATCTGAAATCTCAGCAGGTAGCTGTTTATTGGGTTCTTATTTCCACTATTCCCATCATTACTACACACCTAACTGGAAAACAATATGCCAAATGTCTGTCTCATCACAAGTTGTCAGTACCAAAAGTAGAGGGTTTGGCCTCTGATATTAACATTTACACTCACTCATTTGGAAAATGCTTTTATCCAAGGCTTACAGTACAAGTGAGGGACAACACTAAAGCTTCAGTGCAGTAGAAGACCTTGGTTTAAGTACTAAGTACTACATCTACTCAATAAGTGCAAGGAGATCAGGTAAAGAAGTGCACCAATAGTGCATAGTAAGTGCTTAGTTAGGCATGTTAGGGTGTTAGAGGTGTTAGGAGAAGAGGTACTCTCAGAAGAGATGAATCTTCAAGAGATTCTTGAACATAGAGAGGGACACCCCTGTTCTGATAGCATTCAGTAGCTTGCTCCACCATTGGGGAACCACAGACAAGAACAGTTTGGACTGCGATTGCTTTGTGTGCAGGAATGGCACACCAGACATGCAGGAAGGCATTGGCCAAGAAGGAGCACAAGTTTGTATAATTAAGTTCAGGTAGACGATGATTATTATTAATGTTATTGGCTGTCATTACTCTTTTTATCAGTATGAACACTACAGTTGCCACTACATTACTAATACTGTTACTGCCGCTACTATCGCTATTATTAATATTCCTATCACTGATCTTGTTCTTTTCCTCTATGCTCTCTTGCTCTCTCTCTCTCTCCAACCCAACCAGTCTTTCAGTATATAAGGTCCAATACAACAAACTTCAGCCTCAGAAAGCACTTTAGAATTAACAGCTCTCTGATTAAAAATGGTAAAGTAAGTAATTGTATGAAATGATAGAAGACAATATATTAGTAGATGGGTTTATAGTAACAAGAAATACAGAACCGTACACAAAAGCTGCCAGTATTTTCCCACTCCTCACTACAAATGTCAATGTCAAATATTATGTTCAGCCTTTTATTCATGTAGCACATTATTACACATAAACTAAATGTGCTTTACATTAAAATGCATGTGGAAACAACCACCCACACAAAGAAAAGAACCTCACAGTCATCAACCAGTCAAAAACACACACACCCACACACACGTAACTAATCATGAGCCTGAGAAAATAAAGGTTTTTAGTTTGTTTTTAAATGTTGAAACAATTATGACAGATCTAAGGTCAGCAGGTAAAGGATGTAGCTACAATCCAAGTAAATATGTGTGCGGGAATGTGTAAGAAAGTGCAACACCAGCATGAGTCCTCGTTCAACTTGGCATATTAATTCTGCTTTTCATCCAGATGAAACAACACACCTCGGGGTGGTTTTATTGCTTTTCTCCCAGTTTATTGTTGTACCAGTTCAGCAGTAAAACATGGTTGAAACATCGGAGCACAATGTAGAAACAGCTTAGGCAGCTCTCAATAAATAGACCTATTAAATATGACAGATTGTATTACAGCAGAGGAATATAAACCTGAAAATGTTTTGCACACAGAGCAAGATGCTTTGTATAAACTTCCCTCCTCTCTCTCTCTCTGACAGTTCAGGTGATTGTTGTTATAAAAATGTTCGTCAGGTTTATGTAACAGCTTCGACTGATGAAATATGAAGACATTTCCATAGGTCCAAGTTGTCATAAATTGCCTCCCGCCGTCTGTGTGTAGCGTACAAGTACACGTGAGGCAGAGAGAGGCGCGTCGAGTTTGACCTCAACGCCCATGTCAAAGTAGTTTTCTGTCAAGTGTGTTTTCATTTCCTCAGAGTTTGTGTGTGTACTATCATGTGAAAGAAAACAGGCAGCATTACATACAGGAGAAAAAAAAACAAAAAAAAACATTGAGTGACATTCCAGGAAATAAATACACTTCTTGCTTTGTTTGAAAAAAATTATTTACACAGTATTGTACATAGAAGAAATTCAGAACTTCCATCTGGGTCTCTCAGTCATAAAAATATATATATAATAAAATCTACAGTAAAAGAATGAACTACAATAACAATTATTGAAATAAACAAAAGATTGTTGACTGTGAATGAATATACAGTACAATCACTGCTTTAAATGTCTTGTATACACAGTAGAAAGCACAAACGTGAGTGTGTGTGTGCGTGTTTGTGTTTGTGCATGTGCGTGTGCGTGTATGTGTGTGTGCGTGTGCGCGCGTGCGTACTTGTGGTGAGGAATCTAAAATTGATTGAAATTCTTTTTCACCCACACAACAACATGTTTACTTCAGGGCAACCTTGAAAATGAGACACAGGAAACCATGTTGAACTTTCAGAACGTTCATCAAATGCATGTGCACGTACTTTGTTTTCTGATCCATTCTCATCGCGTCAAGTGACAGCAAGGGGAAGCCCTCGCTACTCATGGGCTGTGTGCATTTGTGTGCGTGTGTGTGTGTGTGTGTGTGTGTGTGTGTGTGTGTGTGTGTGTGTGTGTGTGTGTGTGTGTGTGTGTCTATGTGAAGATGCTAGAGAGAGTCTAGTGGCAGCCACAAGCTCTGACAACCATGTTGCGGTATTTCTTGAGGATGACGTTGGAGCTGTCATCAAAGTAGAGCACTGAGATGGCGTGGAGCTGCGTGGGCGCACAACAAGGCTTCGGAACTGTCTCTGGGTTAATGAAGTGAACCTGGGGAAAACAGGGAAAATCAAATGGTTAACCCATCATCACACCATGCATGAATACTGAAAAACAGTGTAGCACACATTTTCATAAAGCGCTCTGGGAAAAGAAAAAAAGTATTCTGTGTCACAAGTGTTCTCTGAAATACAATCTGCAACTCTTTTGAATCATTAAATACAGTGGTTCCAACAGCAGCTACACTCTCTTGACAGGTGATGAGATGATTAGACTCTTAACATGACTGCTGGGTTTTTTAGTCCCTGCTTTCATGGTTACTCACGAGGGTTTGCACAATGGCATGGTTTGTGGCATTCATGTAGGAGTTCAGTGGGAAGGCACACTCTCCTTCGCAATAGTACGCTGCGTATCCCTCTGGAGCGATGATCCAGTCCTGACAGTGAGAGAGAGAGAGAGGGAGTCAGAGAGAAATTTAGGTTGTGGACTTGGTACAGACAGTGTGCTAAGAACAGAAGTTAAAGGAGACAGAGAGAGAGAGAGAGAGAGAGAGAGAGAGAGAGAGAGAGTAGAGAAAAGGGATAAAGAGAGATGAAAGAGCAGAGAGCCCAGGTAGCCGGTCAAGAGTGCACAGACTCACCTTGAGTGTCAGCATATTCAAGGTGAGTCTGTGCACCTGAGGACCAAATTTGATACAGATCTGGCCCTTACACAGCTGAGCAGTGCAGATGTGGCTAGATAAGCTTCAGTCAGCTGCACTTGAGCCAGATATGGGCCATGGAAACATATTCAAACATGTGAAACTATAGTTTTCTATAGTTTCACATAGAACTATTTCCTGCAATTATAAACCTAACAAATAACACACACTGATGAAATTGGATATCATATTTTCTTTAATAATGGCAGAAAAAACAAGTAGAAACGCTATGTAGCAGCTTAGTAATACGCTAATCCTGCTTTCTTCATAGGGAGCTGACACTAATGATAGATAATGTTTAATTTGCACTGTGACTAAACAGGTCACTGTCCTTTTACTGTCTTATCTTTGATCCATCATCTTTTTGGAGAAGATCACAATTGCACATTGTCAGCTGGTAATTGAAATATAAATTTAAAGCTGCAACTAGAGAACATTTTCATTATCGATTAATCTGCCCATTATTTTCTTGATTAACCGATTAAACATTTAAAATGTTTAAAATGTTTAAAATTGAATTTACTAGTTTTGCCTTTGTATTTTTTCAGGTCTAACTAGTGTCTGCAGAGCTTCCTCCCAGCCTGCCATCAGAAGGTTCAGGCAGCTTGTATGCAGCCTGAGAGGCAAAACCCAGGGCAAAAAAATTATGAAAAGTTATTGCTCTGAGCCAATAGTTGCAAATGACGTGACCCGATGAATACTGATACTTATTCTCCTCTGAAGTGTGGTTGCTGGACAGTAAGAGGACACTTGAGTAAATCAAGCTGAAACTGTAAAATTGGAGTGGACTTGTCTCCAGTGGAAATTACGCCCTCAGGCTCAAGCATACGTGGGCTGATTCTAGTGTCATTCTTCAGGATTGTGAGATAAGACCAGCAACTAGGACTGTCTGATTTAAGCCTCTGTTGGGCCAAGCAATTTTGGCTACCTGGGAGAGGAATGCTTTCCGTACCTGCCACCCCAAGTCTCTGAAACTGACGTAGAGCTCGTGCTTCTTACAGGCCTGTTTCTGATCAGTACTGCTGTTTTCTGAGGAAAAGGACAGACGGAGAAAAAGAGAGAGATTCAGTACATGTGCTATTATCCCGTTCGGCTACAAGAGTAACTATTTACTGCAGTCAGGCCCCAATTAGGCAGAGATGATAAAGAACAGATCTAAACACAGCCAGTGTCCTCATACAAAACATTAACATTTAGACAATGGCTGAAGGAAATCACCTCCAGATACAGCAGCAGTTTTGTAATTGCTTCAAATGAATGGGCCACCCTGCTTAGAGGTCACTCTGCTGGGCTTTGAGTTTCCACTGGCTGAAACAGATGTGCACACAGAGTAGGCTTGCCACATTTTTCATAACTCAAGTCTTTTATTTATTCTCTCCTCTTTCTCCACACTCACTTCAACGTGTCTTTTTACACCATCCATCTGTGGAAAAAGAATCGTCTGTTTTCTGTCTAATGGTATCTCTCCCTCTCTTCTTCTGGTGACCTCTGGGGCTCTGCGATACAATAGTTCCTGAGAGCGGTTCACATTGGAAATGATCATGAGCGACTGGTTCTCATCATCCAGTTAAAGACCACTGGTATCCAAAGTTCCAAACAGGCCCATTTGGCCCATGTGTTGCGGCCCCGGTTGCCCCACAACACACCGCAGATGTGTTCTGCCATAAAAGCCTGCACTGCCTTACCTCCATGCAGGGAACTTGGCCCCGACTGCTCTGTAATGCTTGTGTAAATAAACAAAGACAGCGGAGATATATTTGAAGCTCAGGCATTACAGTCTAATGTTTCAGCACTTCACATAAACACAGCCCTCTCACACCTCCAAAACAAAGGCCCTGGATATGCATTACATGTTTAGTTGAGCAAGAATCACATCAGTTCCAATGGCATACTTTTGTTGGTTCTGGATGTATTGCATATTTGTGAATGCATGTGAGTGTTTACTGTATGTGTTGGCCCACGTACTATGAAAATGTAGAGATTTTTCTCAGATGGAAAGACAAGTATCAGTCGTCTGTGTCCCATTCCGTGAATTCCTCACGAAGCCAACAAAAGCCAGATTGAAGCAGGAGGTCGGCCCAACACAACAGTATAAATCAACGTCGACTGCATGTACAACACGTACACTTTCAGTGGTTACCTGCAACATTGGCCACTCTGAGTGCCTCTTGGCTCTTTGCCCCTTTGGAGCGGTTGGGGTTACGCTGTTTGGTCCCTGCCGGTGCTGAGCGGATGCTTCGCAGGTGCACCTCAGTGGCTTTGAAGAAGGCCACCATGAAGGGCTGTTTATTCTGAGGCCCACTGCGACCAATCAGGCCAGCCACACGAGGATTGATACTCTCTCCTGTAGGGGGAGACAGAGAGAATAGTACAACAGGTGTAAAATCTAGATTTTATTAAGACATGGCATTGTATCAGGTGAAAGAAAGGTTTTTTTTCTTTTTGTTGCATGTGTGTGGCCCTGTCTTTCCTCACCGACACCTACTTTTGTCATGTCTTTATTGCCACATTCACTTTTACAAATAAGATTTTCCTCTGTGAATTCCTTTCCCTTTTTCTCATCTCCTCTCCACCTCTGAAATGCCAAGAACAAATGCACACTGAACATCAAAGCCTCTGTACTTGTGCTTGTGTGCGTATTTGTGTGGGTGTGTTCGTGCACATGTGTGCATGTGCACTCCAGCCGTGTCTATCTTGTTCTCCCACAGAAGAATGTGTCTCTGATCACAGTTTGGTGGTAAATCAAGACTTCTGGTCGCTGCTGGCGACGGGACGTCCCGTGCGCCTGTCTGTACATGCTCAACCATCAGCCTTCATACGCCATCCAGCACACAAACACACACTCAAGGATACAGCCTCCCTAGCACACCTCTCCCACACCATGAAAGCAATACAGTGTCTGTTTTTCTCTACTAACATGTAACATCCTGCCATCCCTGTGAGAGATAATATTTTCAAACACGTTCTTTCACTGTTTGCTGATAAAGTTTTCCACTGGCTAACATCTGAGCTTCGTGATGACAAACTCCTGCTGAGATGTTATCCTTATGATAACGCAGTGTATTTTCTGCATGGCTGCTAATGAGGCTGAGGGTATGACGGATGGCGTTGATGAATGATGAACAGCAGGGTTTGATTTATCTTTGCTGCGTACGCACAAAGAATAAATCATGTGATTCTTTTGGACTTTCAGAGGACAGCCTGCATGTTATATTATAATGCAGACTTTCATATTTGTTAGACATCCAACAATATCCAACAACTCCACATGATACAAATAGTTAACTTTGGTCTGTCTGAAGAATATGATAATTTGATGGTTGTGAGGTTTTATAGCACTCTGCAGTTTTTCATGCTTTCTACGTGGTTAACCTCAAGGATGGAGGTAACTAAGTACATTTACTCCTGTTACTGTATAATATGTTTTCAGCAAAGTCCTATTTATCTCTACATTTTAAAACATTACAAAGTAAAATGCTATCAGCTAATCTAGCATTACTTTTTTAAACTTTATTTAGCAATTTTTACACTTGCAATATGGGTTGAATTCCTTACTGTGAGCATATTTTATGGTATACCTACTACTTTAACTGAACCAGCTACTTTAATTGATCTTTTCAATAGTTTAATTCTAATTAAGTTACCATTTACCGTAATGTACACCTGTGCAATCTAAAGGTAAATCATACCTTTGTGAAGCTTATAATTCTTCTTCACTACACTAACTTTCTACGTGCTGAGGAATGCACTGATCCGAGTGACACTCACCATTGGTGCTCTCCAGGGCCAGCTGTAGCCCCAGGTTCCTGCCAGGGTTCAGGACCCAGTGGTTACTGGTGGCTGTCACATCAAACACCAACCATCCCTCCTCTGCTGCCCAGATCACCCGAGAGTCCAGCAGGAACAGATCCGACTCCCTGGAGAGGACAAGGAAGACAATAACAGTTCACACTTAAAGATGAACATAAGTCAATAGGGATTATATGCACAATTACAAATGATAGGTTGAAACCATGTGATGGAGTGTAAAGCTAAGTGACTGAAGCGCAAAGCAAAGTAATGGAGGGGAGAAAGGGAGTCAGAGCAGTGTGACGGAGCGAAACAAAGAGAGAGAGATGGAGCAAGAAAGCAAGTAAGGGAGGGAGCTGGGGAGGGAGAGAGGGAGGGCTCCAGATGGTGAGGCCCAGGGGAACACTTCATTTTCTTAATTGACAATAATGGCTTTATAAACGACCGGTCCTTTCATACACTACACACAGTCCATCACTGGCTGGAATTTTGTGAGAGAGCCAGAAAGCCAAAGAGTGAGAGAGAGAGAAAGAGAGAGAGAGAGAGAGGGAGAGAAAGAGGGAGGGAGAGAGAGAGAGGAAGAGACAGAGAGAGAGAAAGCGAAAGAAAAAAAACACAGCTGTGAAAGGGGAAGAAACTGTGTGAAATAGTAGAGAGTGAAATAGTTTATATCCAAGTCAGTCCTATTGTCTAGCAGTGATCTTCTACTCGTTCACCATTGGAGACTAAAATCTCTTGTTCTTTATGTGGCCATTCATGTATCCCGACCTATTTTCTCACTGGGCAGATAGTGTGTCACAGAGCTCTGGTTCATTCATGTACCCAGGCCTGTCTCTGGCAAAGGAATAAATGACTGTGTTGTTCCCTCTGGACAACAGAAACCTTTAGGAGGAGTCGAAGAGAGTAGGACATGGGCCATTCCAGAGTTACATACACCTAGTGGATGGCCCAGATTAGCCACATGGAGAAGGTGGGACAAAGTCTTGTTCTGATTAAAGAAGATTAGAACTGAAATTTATGATTTTCATTATTGATAAATATATTGATTTTCAATTAAAGAACTGTGTAGTCTATAAAGTATCAGTGTAGTTCTGTGATTTTTTAGTTAATCACAGCACTTCTTTGAGCATAAATGCTAACATGCTCACAATGACGATGCTACTGTAACATGCTGGTGTGTAACAGGTATGATATTCATCTTACTCTCGTGGCTTTGCATGCTAACACTTAGTTTAAACACTTACGCTAACACGCTAATCAGCACTGAACAGAAAATATATCTAGAACTGTTGGTAATGTCATTAGCTTTGCAGGTATTTGGTCATAAAATAAATCATTGGACAAATTAAAAATTTGACCTGATCATAGTGCAGGAGGAAAAGTTAAGGGATCATCAAAGTTATTACAATGAATCCTGAGGGGGCCATGAATGGCACCAAATTCCATGGCACCCCATCCAACAGTTTGCTAGACATTTCACAAAAAACAAAGATGTCAACCTCATGGTGGCACAGGGACCAAAGTGGTGGATCAACCAACCCACTGACATTGCCATCCCTAGAGCCACACAGTTAACACGGCCAAAACTGTTGTATGTTTACTGACTAACTGATCAATCAACTAGTCATTTCAGCTAGTTCAGACAGAATCATTGCTTAGCAACATGAAAAACTTAAAACACACATTACTGATGCACAAACAAATAATCATATACATAACCATACTCACCTATCAGAGTGTTCCTCCAACACCTGGTAGACGCTGATGCGGAAGGTCTCATTGTCATAACGTTCGTGGATGAAGTCTTTATATATACGAAACTCAGCAGCAGTGACCGCCTCTCCCTCTGGGATCCGTGATAGGTCGAATCTGAACTCTCTATGATGCCGACGCACTGGTAGGAACTCCTTGTCGTGCTCCACTGCAATAAATAAAAACATGAAAATGACAAATGATGAAAATTTGTATTATCATACACATTGTATCTACAGTGCGCAGAGAACATTGTCTCTATACATGTGAGCTATTCCTGCCCCCCCCCCCCCCCCCTTTACGAGCAGGGTAACAAAATGTCTGCAGGGAGATGCTTTTCGTTTGGTGTTGGGTTGCTTCTTCCAGGTAAACAAAACAGATGTTTGTACAAGAGGGGGACAACAAATGTCTTTTCCTCTCAGATTTTTTACAATTTATTCTTCCCCCACAGTCCATCAACCTCAGTTGCTTGCGAGCTGCTGACATAGCTTGTCAGACTCTGGATCGGTCCCAGATTCAACACATCTATAGATATGTAGTACACATGTTGGTTTATGATTGAAACATTCATGAGGACTAGCACTCGGGGTAATGCATCTGGCGCACACTGCGCCACGATAGAGAGATGCAGGAGGACTCTGACAGCTTTATGAGCCCCTTTCTTCTCCCTCTCTTCCTCTCATAGCCCCAGAGAGTCATCCAGTCTGCCCTTCATCTGGTTCTCATGAGTTGGGGCTCCATGTTTGGAGTACCCCATCCGCATCCCCTCCTCTCTCTCATCCCCACATCCCCGCTTTCCAACCCCCCCACCCCCCAAACCCTGTGCCCCCCCTGACCCTGCTCCTCTCATGTCCCAGCAGGACATCCCTGGGGTCAGCGCCTTGTCTCTCATCATCTCCTGGCTCTCCTTCCACCTCCCTCTTTATCAACTGTCAGACAGACCCCCCACACGTACTTATACGCATCCAAACATACACAAACAGATACATATACACACACAAGTACACAAAATAACTTATAAACCTGCAAAGACCATGAAAACAATACATTATCAAACCAGATCACCGTGGCATTTTGAGCTTTTTCTTCAATCTCGTCCCCTTTCTATATAGTTAATGCTATTCATTGACTAATAGAATTGATTAACAAAAATTCAATCACAATTCATTATCTTTAGTCAAATCTCCTCAAGTTCTCATATGTACAGATCCCCTTCCTCCCTTATTACCTGCACCAAGGAGGTTTGTTGGTTTGTTTGTCAGCAGGATTATGCAAAAACCACTGAACTGAGGGGTGGGGCATGGGCCAGGGAACCAATTAAATTTTGTTGCAGGGGCGGATCCATGAATCTTATTTCACCCCTTTCCTTAACACAGTGAGAAAGGGCTTTTTGTCAAAACTTTTCATCAGTTTTTCATGAAATGTTCATGTTAATTGTGTTGAGATTTATTACTTTGTACAACTCGGTGCAAATCCAATTAATAATCTGAATGCCACAGAAATGTGAGCGGCATTCTAGTTTATATAGAGATTATAAAAAAAGAATAAATTAAAATATATCATTGCAAACGATATGATTTATTTGCAAATTTAATATCTTTGGGGTTGACAAAACAAGATATTTAAAGACGTCACCCATCACTGGTGAAAATAATTGTTTACAGTCTTAATACAATTACATATCAACCACATGCCCCTGCTGGGTTGCAGCTGGGTGACAGAGGAAAGCCCACTCCAGCAACCATTCATCTACCACGTTACTCAACAATTCTTTATCAGAGTTGATTGCTCCCATGCCTCTGAGCCACAACTTTGGCAGGAAAACAGCAAGTCCCGGGATCTTTGCTAAGCTACCAACACACACACACACACACACACACACACACACACACACACACACACACACACACACACACACACACACACACACACACACACACAACTCCATCCCAACTCAAATGAATTTCTGACGACAACATACTTGTTCTGCAATGATGCAAATGTTATGCATGTTTCACTACACAACTAGTGTGGTGTTATTTCTTTCAGTGCACACCTGTGTCTTTGTGTTCCTTCAGGAGTAAAAGAAAGGATCTAATGACTCCTCAGTGAGTGACAGCTCTGCACTCTGTTGCCCATTACACTGTCCTCCATCTGCTGTGGACACACGCACTGGATTGGTTTGAAAAACTCTTTGACTCTTCCTGAAAACAATGAAGTACAAGGTTATGTGGACTTCACTGTAGACCTTTATCAATTCAACACCACTTCCTCAACCCACCCCCACTTATTTATTACCTCTTTTCATTCTATCAGCCCCCTTGCTGTCAACACTTCTACCAATCCTTCACTGTGTGGACCGCTCCATCAATCAGGGCTTTCATCAAGCCCCCCCCCCCCCAAGTTACCCTTTACAACATTATACTGCAGAAAATGCGTAAAGCTCATGGGAGTGAAGCATGGTCTACGACTACACCTGCAGATCACCTCACTCTGTGTTAACACTGTATACCAGCCCAGTGGTTCCTAACCTTTTTCGCTTGTCACCTATAAGAACAAAACAATGTCTGCTTGTGACCTGTCCACACAGCTTGTTGTGTGCATAAGTTGCGAAGATTTCCACTCTTCACAACTAAATAGTGTTTTTTCCTCTCAGATTACTTAGTTTGAAGAATTCACAGAGGCCTAAGTGTTGGACGTTGAAGTGTTTCAAAAGAAAAACTATAATTTTGTAACAGAGATGTATTTTTTCTTTCATATGCCTTTAATCTGTGACGCTCCTGTGTGATTTATCCACAAGGTTGGGAAGGACTGCTCAGGCCTACAAGGTCTGAATAGGAACTCATTATCATTCTGATGTATCTGATGTAATGCATAACCCAGAGGAACAACAGAACACAGTATATAACAAAGTAAAGGCTACCATTTTCATTTTATTATCCTTCCAGGAAACAATTACTTCATGTTGTTGCTACACTGTCACACATTTTCATTCCTCCTTCATACCTCTCTGCTCCAGGGCCTGCTTATTCTTCCACCACACCAGGGACCTCTCCCTCCTCCTGTAGCCCCATGCAGGTGCACTGCCTCCAGGGAGGAAGCCAGACCTGTTCTTTAGCCTCCGGCAGCAGCTGCCCACCCCGTCACTGTAAATGCTCTTTATCTTTGCTTGTGAGAACAGCTGGATGCTTCTGTGAAACTCCCACACTAACTATTTGTATCGCATGGCTTTCCATTTCCACAATGCATGAATTTCATCTGTGCAGTTTGAGAGAAAATGAGAGCAGCTCACAGCTCTTAAGCCTCTGCCATGATTCTCCCATTGTCCCTCTCTTTCTTTCTCTCCGTCTCTAACAGGCCATTACAGCAGTATGGCAGTCATTAGATGAGGGGAAGAGGCACAGTTAAAGCCAAGCGGGAGCATTTATGACTTCCTCCGGGAGGAAGTGAGTAGCCATCGCCCCACCTGTGTCGCACATATACACTCACCACAAACATGGCGAACACACCCTCCCATGCCATATGAGCCCTTTATTTTGAGTGGCCGGCGTACACACACACACACGCTGCGCACACACACACACGCACACACGCACACACACACACACACACACACACACACACAACTATCACAAAGTATTGCCTGTGAAGTGAACGGTCTTGTGCGTCACAGCACGGTAACACAATCATTATGGGTTTCTGTAATCCATAATTAGAGATGCAACAACACACACATGCAAAGAGACAAACACACACAAGTACACGAACATCACAAACATATGCACGTACACAGTGAGCTGCTTTTATCATTCGGCCTGACGTCTGATTTGCTTTTTATACAAACTGCTGATGATGCACAGTTATCCCACATCATTTGCCTTGTGCAGGCCACACACGTGCACAGCAGCACACATCAGAGATGTTGGGAGGATGAAGATTTCGCCATCCTCCAACTCTACCATGCACCTGGCAACCAGAGGGTTATTGTATGAACGCTATGTTAGCATTTTTCGAGATTTATGCTTCCCCACAGGCCATATAGCTTCCTTATCATGTTCTCCACTACAAAGAGCTGTGCCTGCTAAAAGCCAAAACCTCTGATCTTTCTCCAGGAAACAGTCAAGAGTGATTTGAGGTTTACTACTCTACTGGCATGCAGTGATTTTCATTTCATTTTTCTTTCTTAATATAAAATTTTTTTATCTAAAAATCTTGAAATCAATCAAAACATTTCTGTGCCACATTTTTTGTCTATTGACTGCCCGTAGGAGTATTTATGGTGATATTTTATTTTTCTAATCGTCAACAAATCACATGAAAACACCGAAGCCTACAAACAGGTATTTTCCGTGTAGCTTATGTAGCTTATTCCTCTGTGCCAAAAACGGGAAAAACAACACATTAGCAAGTGAGAAATGAGATGCTCCCTCATTATGCTGAACATGAGCACTGCAGTTAATTTTGAGTCATTCACCTTCTTGCTGGTGTAAATACTCGCTAGCACAACAAACACAGCTGGGAAAAAAAATTTTTGACTAACATTTGTCAAAACTACAGTGGGCAACCTTTTTGGGAATTAAATGTATTAAATGAAAAAATGAAATGAAATTATATGTTTGTGACCCATTTTCAAAGATTTACTTCTTCAATAGGAACAAGAGGCCTTGAGGCTGAGAGTGACGGACAGGATGGGGAAATCATAAAGCAGTGAGAGGCAGACTACCACACTGCTGGTCTCGGTCTTCTCATGGGATTTGTTGACCACAACAAAAGTACATAATTGCCAGCCTCATCCTTTAACTCCTTTTCTTTCTACTTGTATGTCCCTCTCTTCCTTTTTCTTCTCCTTTCCCTCTCCTCTAATAATCCCCACCCCCCACCCCCCCCTCACCCCATCTCCTGCCAGGCCTGTAGACCTAAGACACTTCTCCGACACCTCAGGCTCCGGAGCAGCAGCGGACAGACCTGACGGCTCACATTAGCCCAAGTGTCTGTTCGCCACCCTCACACCCCTCAGTCCCGCCTTGCACGCTTCCGCTGCTCGGTAGGGGTGGGGTGGGGTGGGGGTTCTCACCCCTGGCACCGCTCTCACTTCTCTAAACCGATGGCTTAAGCTTCGCCCCACTCCCCCCTCCCTCCTGTCCCACCTCCAGTTCCCTTGAGTTAACT